TAATATAATTTTTTTTTCTCTAATCAAACTGCTATTAGTGTATTTATTAATTCAATTCTGAATAACAATAATACAATATACAATATAGTACTATACTAAAGCTAAATGGTCTATTATAGCAGAATACCCGTCGACAAGTTTCAGATTTGTATGTGATCCTTAAATCCTTAATATCAAGACTACCATATTGCTCACATAATCTAGCTATTTACTAACTATTTTATTACAAGGGAGTAGGTTCATTAAGCTATTATTATATGATACTAACTATCTTAGACTTTCCAAATCCTAACTCTCTAGATGTGATTGTGAGGAATGATAGAATTGCTCCTTTTTAGAGCTAGATATCAAAATCTTTGCTCTAAGAGATCTAAGCCAGCCTATATTCAGACCATCATCTCAACACAATCTTGTTATCCTAAGAGGTAAAAAAAAATTTTTATTTTTTTAAAAAATAAAGGAAAAATAAAAGGGAAAGGAAAAGTTTGTACTGATAAATAAAAATCTATCTAAACCAATCATCAGTCTAATGAGAGTCTTCTTTAATTTTGAAGAGAAAAGAAATTGATACAAGAGAGGAGAGGGAAGACTCCAAGCCACTTCTTATCAAAAGAACATCTTGACACCTTGCTCTTTTATCATTATCCAATTGCATTATCAATTGTAGTGTGGTACGATATGGGACATGTAAGAATATGTGTTATGTTTACTTTTCTTTTATGCATTGATCAATCAATCCAAAAATTTCAGCCAATCATCAACCAGAGATTCTGATGTAACAAAAAATTCAAGATCAAACTAAGGTAGACAAAATTCCCCAAAAAAAATCAAAAAAAATTTGCCATGCTTGAAAGTATTATCACAGACATGTATAACTGGTGAAGAAAGATTATATACCTGCAGATAGATTCCTACTAGCTTATCCACCTGCCTGGATTACAGGATTTCAACTTATGATGGACCCAAGGTTCTTATGGAGCTTGGGAAATGTATTTACTTGATAGGCCCAACTAGCTTATTTACCTGCCTTTAGACCGAAGGTTGTTTACTTATAGTGGATCCAAGGTTCTTATGGAGCTTGGGAAATATATTTACTAGTAGTTTACTTTTTAGAGTTCCAGACCTAGGAAGAATATAGTGAAGAATGTTTTTTTGATAGGTTTCTTCTTCCCAGTAAGGTGTTCTTGCTATAAACCAAATGGATAAAGTTTTGTTTATTTTGTTGCTGAAATATCCAAAGTTTTTTGAAGAAGGAAGGGCAAACAAATAGGAGAGACATCAGCCTTCAGGAAGTAATATTTTAAGGAAAGTGTATAGACTTTATTATCAAAAAAAAAAAATATTTTTGAGAACGTCTGTTTTTTGGGTTGGCAAAGGGATTAGTGGAAAGAGTTTTTATTAATTATATATATATTATTAATAAATATATTATTAATAAATGTATAATAATATATTGTATTTTTAAAATAAAATAAAAAATCATCTATTCAAAAAAAAAAATCTTTTCACTGATTACTTTATCAATCCAAAAAATAGATGTTCTTAAAAATATTTTTATTTTAATAATAAATCTATACACTTTTCTTAATATCTTACTTTCTGAAAGCTGGTGTCTTCCCTTATTGTCTACTTTTCCTTTTTTAAAAAACGTTATATATTTTAATAACAAAATAAACAAAACTTTATCCATTTGGTTTATAGTAAGAAACACTTTATTAAAAAAAAGAAATTTATCAAAAAAACACCTTCCATTATATTTTCTTTAGATCTGAAACTCCAAAAAGTAAAAAAAAAACTCTTTCCCACACATAACTCCTTTTATGAAAATTGCTTTTTTAAAAATCTTCTTTCCTTCAAGAAACTTTAACTAATAGATTATATTTTTTAGGAAGGGAATATAATCCTAAGAACTACTATTGAGTAGCGAGGGTATCAGTAACAGCTCTTAGAATATAACAATGGTTTACTTAAAGAGATCTAATACCTGTAAAGGTATTGATCAAATAACTTAGCTGTTAGAAAATGAATAAAAACTCTTTTTTCACATTTAGGCCTTTTTTTATATTAAACAAATACAAATCTTTAACAAAATTCTTTCTTTTCAATAAACTACTGTATATATTAGTCAAGAGACAGTATTTTATTTTTTTCAGAGTTTTTTGTTTTCTACTGATAATAACTAGTAAATGATTCTTATATCCTTTGACTAGTCATTAGTTCTTACCAATTTTTTTACTCAAAAAACCGAACTCAGCTTACTTCCATTAAAAGATCTACCTCATATAAAACACCAATCATATTTTGTATCATAATAACACAACCCAAACATTAAAATAACAATATTTTATTATCAAAACAAACACAATCACATGTGACTGGATTGGAAGAATATATAATTAGTACCCTGTATAAATTCCAGTTATTCAACTTATCAATATACTTACTTCAAAAATATAGCCATACCATACAATATCTAACCACACTAACTTACTTATTATCTCAATAATGGAGTTGCATTCCATAAGCAGTAATGCTATTGTTAAAGAAGAAAGGTAGCCAAAGCCTAATCAATATGAATAAGAGCAATTTTATTTTAAGTGAAAGTGAAATACCAAGGAGTTGCATTCTGTAATTTGGCAGCTTATACCAGTGCTCTGTTATTGCTATTGGAGTTGCGCCCAACTGTCGAAAAGAAAGCCTTGAACCTAGGTAGACATATTAAATCTGTGCTTTGCAGAAAGAATTATTGACAAAAGATAATATGATTTAAATTTTATTATATATTACCATTTCAAACATGGTGATCTAATCCGTAATGATCTTTTTATTAAATGTAGATAGTTCCTTTCTTTTTTTCTGTTATAGGATTTTTTAGAAATATATCTATTACAATAGATGATAAACTAATATATATACAATATATCCATATATCTCGTATCTTAATATATATAATTAGTTATATCTATTACTAATAAGATTGTAGGACATATTTTATCTTAACAAAAAAAAAAAGAAACTTCAGAAAGTAAACTACTAGTAAATACATTTCTCAAGTTCTATAAGAACCTTAAATTCACTATAAGTGAAACTTTTGGTTAAAGTAAGTGGATAAGCTAATAGACTTTATTCTCTTAAGTATATAATTTTTTTTACAATCATATATATTACAATATATCTATGATAATATTTTCAAGTATATAAAAATTTTTTTGATTTTTCTAAAGAATTTTATCTATCTCAATTTGATTTTGAATTTTTTATTATATTGAAAATTCTGGTTGATAATTGGCTGAAATCTTAGATTGATTAATCGACACATAAAAGAAAAATAAACAAGACATATACTTCTCATATATTCCATGTTATATTATTAAGGATCCTAATGATTCTGTGTTTAATTTCATTCGATTCCAACTTTTATAGTAAATTTAATAGGTGGATTATAATCCATTTATGTTTTTTATATGTATATGAGTCTATGCAAGTCTATACGATTTTAATTTTTGAGACCATATATATTACACTAAAATCAATAATGTAACTAAATATAGTGAAAGAGTAAGATATTGAGGTGTTCTCTTGTTAAAAGTAATTTAAAATCTTCTTTTTTTTCTCTTATATCAGTTTTTTTTCTTTTTAAAATTAAAAAAGATTCTTATTAAACTGGTAATTGATTTGGATGGGTTTTTATTTACCAGTATAAACTTTTTCTTCTCTTTTATCCTTTTTTTTACTTCTTAAAAAAAATAAAAAATTTTTTTATCTCTTAGAATCATAAGATTGTATTGAAGTGACAGTCTAAATATAGACTGATGATAATCTCTCTAAGTCAAGGTTTTGATATCTAACTTTGAGAAGAAGCAACTATATTATTTCCTATAATCACACCTAGAAAGTTAGAATTTGGAAAGTCTTATCATATAATAATAGCTTAATGAATATACTTTCTTATAATAAAATAGTTAATGAATAGTTAGATTATGTGAGCAATATGGTGATTTTGATATTAAGGATTCAAGAATTATATACAAATCTAAAAATAATTTTTTAACAAATGTTCTGTTATAGAGAATAGTTTATCTTTAGTATAATATTATATTGTATATTGTACTATTGTTTCCAAATGGATTAAATAAACATATTATAGCAGTTTGATTAGAGGAAAAATAAAAAATCATCTATTCAACATAAAAATGTATAAATATTATTGTTTTTATAGTTTTAAAAGAAACAAAATGTTACAAAATTATTTTTAAATAAAAAATTAATCATTAATAAATTAAATTCGAAATTAGAAAAAATGATAATATGTAATTTTAATAAAAAAATTTTTTATTATTTGTATTATCTTTCTACCTTAAAAAAATAAATTGAAAATTGTTATACAATCTGATTGATTTATAAATATAACAATTTTAAAATTTTACAATACTGTACATTATATTGTTAAAATTATATATTAAACAATCACTTATGTTAGTCTAGTGATAAATAAAATAATGATAATAATAAAATAAAGTAATAATTAATTAATATTTAAATCATTAGTAGTAAATTTTAAAAATACTATAAGTTGAATGCGATATTATGATCATATAATGATCCGATCATTTATTAAAGTTAATGATGTTTTTTAAAAAGTTTAAATGATTTATGTAATCATATTCTGTATGTAAAACATTTATTGAATTTGATGTTGGGTTCTTTTTTACAACTATTTTAATCATGTTTTAAGGTTAATAATCTTTCGACAATAGTCAGTCCACATAATTTTGATCTGAATTGTTACCAGAATTCTTTGAACTCGTGCTCCCCCCGCCACCGGGCATCCTTTGATTTTTTGTAATAGTCGAATCCTTTGTAATCTCCTTGTACATCTTTGATCTCATCAACTGTTTCCACATCATCAAGTCTTTTTCCATGACCATCACTCTTTTTTCGATTAGAAGTTGCCGCGAAATCCTCGGAACCAGCATTGTTAGAAGTGACAGCAGTAAGCTTGTCATCGTCCGGGTTCCAATTTTCTAATGACTTTAGATTGAGATAATTCTCTTTATCTATCTTGGTCTCGTTAATGAACCAAAGGTATGCACCCTCGCCATTCTGAAGTTTTGTGAGTTTGGGATTAGTAGATATTTTCTTATACACTTCGTCACGTAACTTCATATTATGCAGGATTTGACGTTTGAGATAATTTTTTGATTTAAACTGCGGAAAACGGGGTATATGAGAAGCAATTTGTTTTCCGGACTGGGGACCATACTTGGCTAATAAGTGAAGTACTATTCTAGTGAGTCTAGTGACCGGTTGATAATCTACGTGATTTCAACGTTGCACCGATCTTTTTGCATGTGATCAAATATTTTCTTTTCAAAAAAAAAATAAAAAATGGCACAGATACGAATTTATAAAAACCCCATTCTCATCAAAGTCAAAAATCAAACTTCGATTAATGATCAAGAGGCATTGCAAAGCATAATACGATACACAGAAAGTGAGGCTGTAAAAAATCTACCGCAAAAAAAATTGGAGGACATACATAGATTGCAAGAGCATCTATCTGCACGAAGTAATAAACGCAAGTTCATCACCAGACCTTTTCCAGGAATAATAAATGAGTTTGAAAGTAGGAAAAGAAAATTTGATGGCTTTGAAGGTGATGGCGATGAAGCTTGGTCGATTGAAGAGCAGGGTGATAAGAAGCGGAGAAGGAATGACAACAGTGAAACCGAAGGATCGAGAATTGATATAAATAGCCGAAAGAGACAAAAAGGTGAAGGCAAAGGAAATATGGACATCGATATTAGCGATAATATAGGATCTAGGAAATGGATTGAAATAAATTCGGACGAAGCGGATGAAGGTGAAAGTAGACTAAACGGAAGGGGAGAGTTAAAGATAAAAAAGGAAAATAAAAAGAACGTTGATAATAATAGAAAAAATAAAGAAAAGAAATTTAATGGGGTTTCAGGTAGCAAAGAGATTTTGAATAAGGAAAGTGAAAATAAAACGAAAAAAGAAAACTCAAGGCATAAGAAAAAAAATAAACATTTAAACTTATAATTTATTTAAATTCTTTCTTTTTCGTGGACTTTGTCTTCTGAATTTTTTTTTTTTACTTTAAAAAAATGACGATTCTCAATAATATACCAATCACCAAGAATGACGGACGATCCAAGAATTGACAAAAAAAACCAATATCTCGAAGATTCACAAAGTTCTTTCTAATGGCTAGCATTGAATCTAAACGGTAAAAAAAAGGAAAGGAAAAGGCTACTGATGGTGGATGGCACTGTTGATTCCGAAGCACTGGCATTTAACGTTACGGCAACAGAACGGTATCATATTTTCACCATAATAAACTTACAACCGTTGGCATACGTAATTCGCAGATTCCGTGAAACAAATATGTAATTCTTAATCTTGGTGATTGATTTTCTTATGTAATTCTTCAAAGATCAAATCGCCCATACGATCATATCCTTCAGCCGTCAGATGGATACCATCAGGTTCCCAATACGAATTTGAGTCGAATGGTATATCTCTTGCTATATCGTAAAAGAACATATTCTTATTTGTTTGACAGTAATTTCTAGTTTGATATAATGAAAACGAAGAGAATTAATACCAATCAATTTTAAATATTAATAAAGAATCTTAAATTTGAGATACTTGCCTGATAAGTTCATTAACATCGACTCTTCTTTTATCGTATTTATACCCAGCCCATTCCTATCATTGATCGAGAATTGTTTAAAAATTAATTAATTGCGAATTACAGTAGATCAAAAAATAGTTTACTTTATTGAATTCAAGAATAGACAAGGCCAAAACTTTGGAATTATGTTGTTCACAAATATTATATAGGTTTTTCAATCCTTCAAATGTTGTATCACTCGACACTTGGAATATATCATTTGTGCCTTTAATTTTATTTCGTTTAAGAAATCAGTTAATATTAGAAAGGTGATGAATACAATGGATTTTATCCCTTACCTCCCATTATGATAACCCAGTCCACTATTTCACCCTCACTAGATTTTTTGTTCAAATACGTTTTCAACCTGCGTTCCATAAATCTGCCGGCTGCTCTATCTCCCGAGATTCCCTCTTGCGTAATCTATTGTAGATAAAAAAATAAATTAGAATTATGGATTGATTATATAATAAATCTTGTACGTATATGCTACTCACCTCGAAATTTGGATATACATTTTTGAGTCTTTTTTCTAATTGAATCTGGTAGGGATGGAAAACAGTACCGGATCGGGTATATCCTTCAGTTAATGAATCTCCTAATAAGTACAATATCAATCGCTTAATTGAAGTGGTCGACATTTTCAACGATAAATTAAGCGGTAAAAGGTTTATAAAGCCAAAAGGAATTTTAACTATTGTATTCGTTACACATATGTAATAAATAAACTTTTATATAGATTATAGAAAATTTCAATTTTTAAAATTCATATAATAAAACTTTATTAAATTAATCATGTATTTTTTTTGCTATATAAAATATCTATTCACAAGAAATATTTATAATAAGTTATAAAAAAAATATATTAATAAATCGATTTTCTATTACGAAAAATTCTAATAATAATAATAATAATAATTTATTGTTTAATTTATTTTTTAATTTATTTTTAAGTAATTGTACAATTTGTTTGAAAATTCTTTGAGCAAAATTGATATTTTTTTAATTTCATTAACTTTTACAAATATACAGGTATATATATTTTTTAAAAAAATTTTATTATAAATAATTGTTTTTTAAAAAATAGATATTATTTGTTTTGTCTTTTTTTATTGCAAATAAATATTAAATATTAATTTAATTTTTATAAAATTATAAATTAATTATAGTTTATTGATACTGATTTTCTCTTTGAACTTACAGTGAATTGTTTTTTTTATTTTTTTTAATAAAATTTTGTTTGTTTATTTTTTTTTTAAAAAAATAAATATTATTAGTAATAAATATATTCAAGAAATATACATCTGTATTTCTGGCTTTTGTATATAACTTCTTGAATTTTTTTTTAAAATTTTTTTAAAGTTATTAAAATCAAAAATTATTTTTTTATTAAAAATTTAATAATTAATTAATGTATATATTTGAAGATATACTGTAAATAAATATATATATACGTATATAAAAATTTTTTAAATATATTAAAATAATATAATTAAATTATAATAACAATTTAAAATTTAAAATTTTTTATTAATTATTAAAATTATTTTAATATATAGTATAAATTAATTAAATATAGATAAATAAAACTTTAAAATAATTTTTTATAATTTTTATATTAATAAAATTTTTTTTTGACTTAATATTAAAATATCTATTTTTTGATGAAATTTAACAAAAAATTTCAATGATAATAAGATATTTTTATTATATTATAAAAAAGACATTATTATTTTATTAATAATTATATAATGATTTTATAGAAAATATTAATTAAAATTAAAAAATATTATATTAGAAAATATTAAAAAAATTTATATCAATATTAAAATATAAAAAATAATTTAAAAAAATTATATAATAATTAATCTTTTTAATAAAATATATTTATTAATAAAATATTTATTTATAAAATTAATATTAAATTTAAATAATTTATATTAAATTTAAAAAAAATTTTTTTTAAAAATAATTTTTATTAATATAAAAATTATAATAAAACCATTATATATTAAAATAATTTTAAATTGCTATTTTTTTTTAATTATAATTTAATTATATTATTTCAATATATTTAAAAAACTTTTTTATATATTTCTATTCTTTATATCTCCAAATATACACATGTTTATTTTTATTTTTATTATTTAATTATTTATTAAATTATTAATAAAAATATGAGTTTTGATTTTTTCAAATTATTTTTGATCCACATTATATTTATATTATAATTATATAATAATAAATAAAAAGATTAAAAATAAAACAATATAGAACTATTGAAAAAAAAAACTTTACAATAAACAAAAAAATATTTGTTTAAAGATCTTTTAAACAAACTATATATAAAAGAATTATGAATTATTTTTTTTTTTTCAACTTGTATTATATTTATACTGTATATATTTACTATAGATATTTTAAGATTAATTAAAGTAGTTCATATAATTATTTTTTTGGTAATATAACAAAATTTTTTTTAAAAAAATTTTTTTTTTTAAGAAGTTGTTTGCTTGCCGTTTTTATTTGATTAGTTTTGATGTATTTTTCTTTTTTTAAACATGGTTTTCAGGTCTTATCCCAATTTGGTAAAAAGTTTTCTAAGCAAGAATTCCATTCCGAGAAAGTGGTAAAAATCCTCTATATTCTTTGATAGAACTTAAGAATTTTTTTAAGATGTGCCAAAGTTGAAATATTAACAATTAATTAGAGAATTCATTAGGTACTTTAAACATTCTTGAATTCAGACTTGGAAATAAAAATTAAATAGGGAAACATAACTACAGGATGTAGTAAGGAACTTGATTTCAGATGGTTTATTATAATATGATTATTGTAGGATTAAAATTTTAAAAACTAATCACACGTTTTGTTAGTATACGAAATTACAGATGAACCTTCCATGAAAATGGTTGCATTTTGGTAGGAAAGGTTCTTTTCGTTTTATTTATTCATGACCCAGGGTGAGCATCTTTTATTATAACGAATCATTTGCCCAAAATAAAGTCAATTATTCAGGAAATGAAGGGACCACTTGAATCAAAAGTGAAATATTATGTGTAAAGGGTAGTAATGCGTACTATTATATCATTCGTATAAATTACCATGTTTATTTAGTTGTCATATTAGATAATTATAAGGTTTTATACAGTTTGGCGAATGAATATCTGTAATTAGAATTTAATATTTAATATTTATTTTAAATTATTTATACCCAACATTCCATTTAAAATGTTTATAAATAACTTTGTATAACCAACGCCTGACTGTGATGCTAAATCTGTCGCTAAACATTACACTCCTTTTGAGTCCATATATTATTAATTGAACTCTTTAAATACTCTGTTTATCCTAATTATCATTTTTAATTGGAGTCACAGGATATTCCGCTCTATGATCACGAACCATCTTGTCAGCAAACCACCTTG